TCTTTTATCAATCTTAAAGATAATAAAACCTTTAAAACTCCAGATGATTTCTCTACCATGGTTGGGTATCCACAAATCAAGCCATCGACCCAGCTTCGAGCAAAACATTCCATGCATCAACTTCAAATCCCAAGTCTAGAAAGAATTGAACAAAAAGAGAACCTTCATGGGAAGGAAATTCCTCGTATCCATAATGGTATGAGGGTACCTGTTTTTCTGATGTTGCCACTCGATACCATATCAGCAACTTGAACAAGCCAAGAGCCAAGAATGCTAGCTTGATGGCTTTGAAGAGTGCTGGAGTTGAAGGAGTAATGGTCGATGTTTGGTGAGGATTGGCTGAGAAAGATGGACCTTTGAAATACAACTGGGAAGGGTATGCTGAGCTCGTAAACATGGTAGAGAAACACGGCTTGAAGCTTCAAGTTGTCATGTCTTTCCATCAGTGTGGAGGAAATGTTGGAAACTCTAGCAGTTAAGCAACAATCCACTCCCACTCCCACCCTTACCCCTACCCCCTCCTTTATATTTGTCCATGGAGCCTCCCATAAACTATCCATAAAATCCTGTTCTACTGATTAGCTAGTTCATGCACGCATTCACCAAACATATGACTATTTGCGAACTGCATTGAATAACCTTGTTCTGCTTTAATCTTCCAACTTTTCTCTAGTGTCCTACAGCAGTTTCATGGTGTTCCCAGTGTTGGATTTGTTACATGACATATTTCGTACACTATACAGTACAGAATTTTAGCTTTTTTCCTAATATTGTCTAATCTAGTGTCGTATGAACCATCTTAACAAATAAGGCACAAAGTTCCATTTTAGTCCCCGGTCTATTTCCTGAAGAGGAAGTTTGTCCCCAACTTTTATAAATGAGCAAGTTGAAGCCGTTCAAATACCCCTAAAAGTCACGTCACATTCACATGTCCATATTTATAAAGCTAGATGTTGTTACCCAACATAAGTTGATGTTTAAAGATTAGAAGTTAGACATGTTCCCACAGGGGTCACGTGATTATTTTTTAAGAGATGAATTAAAGGTTGAAGACCAACTTTCTCCTTTTCAAATGTTGAGATCCAACTTGATACGTGGGCCATTAGTTGAGAACCAATGCTGCAATACTCCATGTTATATATTCTTAAAATAGTAAAAATGGTTAGGAAAGAACAATTAAAACTTCGGTACCTTTCTGATAATAGTAATCCAGTAGCGATGATCATCTCCATTTGCAGCATTCCTTTGCCCCCATGGGAGCTTGAAGAGAACAGCAAAAATCCCGACCTTGTCTACACAGATAGTTCAGGTTGTTGCAACCCAGAATATATATCACTGGGCTGCAACTCATTGTCTGTTCTCAGAGGAAGAACACCAATTCAGGCCTATTCCGACTATATGAAGATTTTCAGAGAAAGGTTCAAGGATTATATGGAAAAGGTTATAGTGGTAAGGCTCTAACAATCCTCACAAGTCCTAATGTTCATCTTAAACATTTAGAGAAACATCTATTGCAGTAAAACTTTATTCATATTGCTTCATTCACTATAGAAAATGTTTGGTTCCCAAGCACTCATTACATGCGTCAAACAGCCAACCCAGAAAAAGAACTAACTTTCCGGACATGTTTGGTCCACATCTAGATTATTGTCCACTATAATCAATCCATCTTTACCACACAAGTCGTGATATAATTAAGGGAATAAAGAGCCAATATCTCTTTTCTTCATGTTTCAATAAAAGATAATAAAAATGGTAAACAAGAACTCAAGATCAAAGGCTTAGACTCAAATCTTTAATAGCTTTGAAATAAACCAATTTTCCTTCAGGAAGATGTACTGATGTAATTTTTTATGTAAATTACAGACCCTTCTCACTTTAGCCAGACAAGCAAAGCTAGAGAGAATTAGCAGTGTAGAGACATGAGGGAAATATAAAAGCAGAGAGAGAAAAACAGTATCATTAAAATAATTAATCAAAATTATGTCAGTGTCCCACGTTACCTACTAGTTACTGTCAAAACAGTGGACAAATTTAAGTTTTGGAGCTATGTTTAAAATATCACAAGTTAAGGATGCACATTGTTCTTTATTTCATTTTGTCACCTACAAATGAACAAAAAACAATTCTGTAGAAACTCAAATTTGCTTTCTCTTAATGCAGGAGATACAAGTGGGGATGGGACCTTGTGGAGAGTTACGATATCCATCCTATCCGGAAAGCAACGGAACCTGGAGGCTTTCACGAATTGGTGAATTCCAGTGTTACGACAAGGTAATCAATGTAATATGTAAACTACATTTTAAAATAGATGCTTTTTGTGTGTATCTTCCCAGGTGTCGTAAGAATAAGTCCAGCCTAGCCAATTCAATAAAAAATAATAGAGAATAGGTCCAAGAGATTAACACTCTATGTTAAAAACAAGGATCAAACAAGATATACTTGACATCACAAAACCTTAATATCTGATTTTTGTTTCTATACGATGAAAAACTTATATTTATACAATTTCTATGGTATATATATAATTATTTTGAACTCTAGTCCGACTCCACTTGAACTCTCTGACTCTTTACCTTTTCTGGGTCAATATCCTTACCAGGTGTTGAAAACCTATAGCATTTCTATGTATAACAGTACATGAGGGCTTAGCAGAGGCGATAGGAAAGGATGAATAGGGACGTGGAGGGCCAGTCGACGCAGGACAATACAACCAATTCCCTGAAGAAAATGGATTTTTCCAAAGGAACGGTACATGGAACAATGACTTCAGAATTTTTTTTCTTAGAATGGTATTCTGGAAATCTACTTGATCATGGAGAGAAAATCCTAGGAGCTGCTAAAGGAATATTACTTGAAGTGGAGCTAAACTATCTGGGAAAGTTGCTGGAATTCATTGGCACTATAACAAAAGATCACATGCAGCCGAATTAACAGCAGGGTATTACAATACTAGGCACCATGATGGTTACCTACCAATAGCTCAAATGTTGGGTAAACACGGAGTTGTATTCAAATTTACATGCATGGAAATGAGAGATGGAGAACAACCAGAGCATGAAAAGTGCTCGCCAGAAGGTCTAGTTCAGCAAGTTGAGATGGCAACAAGAACTGCTGGAACAGAACTTGCCAGAGAAAATTCACTGGAGAGGTATGATTCAGGAGCATACTCACAAGTTTTGGTGACTAAGAGATCGGATTCTGGAAATGGACATTTACATATTTAAGGATGAATAACCTGTTTGAAGCGGAGAATTGAATGGGTTTGGTTGAATTTTTAAACAACATGTCAGAAGGCAGAAACGAGAGACTTCCAGAGATTGACTCGAGCAGGACAGACCTGTATGTCCGATTTATCAAAGAAAATAAACAAGGTTGCCCTTGTGTAAAGATATACATGCATCAATGCGAAGACGAGTGCTCTATTCTATGAATCACATACGAGCTGACACATAACTCTTTGTAAAAGTAGGAGAGAGACATGTGGGAACATGTCTACTAAAGTTATACATATATACATGTTATATTTTTGTTTTGATAATTATTTATTTTTCTCTTTCTAGCTTCTTCTTCTTCTTCTTCTTCTTTTTTGAATTTTGGAAGTCAAATCTTTTGGACATGAGTGACTATTTGTTGTACTTTGTATCATTAGTGGAAAGAAAATAAAAATATATATTTAGCAAAAATTGCATATAGTATATAAAAACAAATTCAACACAAAGATCCTACAATTTATTCTCATATTATGTTGATTTTTTACCCAAATAGTTAAATATTTTTCCTAGGTTTATATTGCAAAATTCATAAAATGGGGTTTGAAATGTGCCTGACATGTTGAGTACATATACCTTGCATTAAGAAATGAAAAGGCAAAAATGATAGACACACCACATGGCGAGTCAGACACATGCCTCAGTACATCCAAGAGATTTAAAATTTAAGCTGAATGATTTATTACATGCATATAGGAGTAAAATTCTATCAATAAAAGGAAAGAAAAGGAAACAATATAAATTCCTATTAGTAAAAGTTTTTTCTAACTATACTAGGACATAATCTAGATGAAAATATTTTCATAATTCATATTCTAACTTATCTATTCCAACTCTTCTCGCAAGTTGGTGCATCAAAACATGCCCAACTTGGATGGTGATGTTTAGAATGACCCACTAATTGAAAATCCTAGCTCCATCCTGATTGCAACTCCAAGTAGTAAAAGTCTCCCCTATCAGTTCCAACTGTCATCTTGGTTAGATTGTCTTTTATAAGGTGTTATTTGAGATACATGAGTAGCAGAAGATGGAGAGGCATCAGTGATAGCAGTCTGAGCAGATTTTTTCTTCTTCCTTTCAGCTTGCTTACTTTTTAACCACTCTAGCTAACCATATAGTTTCCAGCAAATATCAACAGTGTGTAGTGATGTGACAATGGGTGTAAGGCCCCGTAGAAGGGCTGAAGTAGCTAATCCTAAGTTATTCTTCTGAATACTAAAGTCGAAGCCTTAGAGACGACATGTGTACCCATAGTAACTTACCTTTGTACTTCATGATAGATTAGTACGTAACAAGGTTTAAAAAGGCGAAACTAAGTACTGAGGCGGTTGTTCTTTATGAGGCGAAATTTAAGCCTCGAGGCGGATTGAGGCTA